TCTCAAGCAGGATGTACTGCGTAGGAGAAACTGCTCTTTGTTTGTGGACTGTTGCAGAAGTGCTTTTGGATCCCACTCTGCCTAGTGCCAGGCAAATACACAATGAAATCATAGTTTCAGCACATGAAGTTCACAGCTGAAACAGTAGCATATTGGCAAGGGCTCTGTCTGTAAACAAGGTTTTGGCATAAGCAAAGACAGTGTTTCACAATTGCTTTAAGCCTCCTCATTATCTGTTTCGAGCCAGGTCAGTTGCTTGATCCAGTTTTCTGTGGGGCTGTACAGTTGCTACTGCTAATACGATGGAGAGAACAGGACGACCAAATCAGAGTGGACTAAGGAGGAGACTGCCTCTTCTGGTAAAATATCTGCATTTAGATCATTTTGCAGGAACTTCAGAACTGTGGCCTTGGTTATGGTGGGTGGTTGCTACTGTATGGTGAGGATTTTTATGGAGGAGTCTTACTCAGGTATGAAGGTCTTTTTCCAGTGTAGCTTGTAGTGTTTGAGCAGGAATTTAAGCTAAATCAGAAACAGCCACTCCATTTGCTCTCTTACGCCAGTAAGTTAGTGCAGGACACATTGCTTACGTAACCGTGCTTCTCTTTCATGGTGAAACTTTTGAACAGAGGTCAGGTCTTTAACAAACTGCATTTTTCACATGTTGGCTAATGCATATTTTCAAAGCTTATCTAGTCTTGGATTTTCAAAGCGGAGTGTCTTGTGGCACGGTTTGGCTTGGCCTGAAGCGTTCTCAACAACCTGTAAATCAGACAGATAAAAATCAGGCACACTGAGTTGATCGAAGTGACTTTCGTTTATTGAGGTATGACATTCGGTCAGATCCTTCTACCTCTCTGTCCAGATTTAGTCAAACTCTGAGCATGGGGCAAACGAAGGAAGTGGTTTGGGGTTGTTTTTTATGGCAACCAAAAAATGTTTTCCTTCTGATAGGCATCTATACGTAATGATTCATTTTCGTAATTGCTTGCTGAGACCACTGGCAGGCTCCTGTTAACGTGTGTATGAGTATGTATAGCTCTGCATGGTTTAACTTGCATGTAATAGCTTACATAACCGTTACCTCTCTCTGGTTTGTTAGAACAGCCTCTTGTGTCCCTGGGGGTGTCCTGAATGGGGAGGAGACTTGGTTGATCTCCCTGGCTTAGTGTTTACTTGGCCTTTACGTTTCAGTCGTGAGCATCTATGCCCTCAAGCCAGTGGAGCCAGAAGGAAAGAGAGAGATGTACTTGTCCATCCGGGTAGGAAATACTTAGTGCTGTAACGGAGAGGCGCATTTCCACCCCCACGGAGGCAAGCGGTGGTGTTGTGTTTGTGGCCACTGCGTGGGACGTGACAAGCCACAGAGCGCGTGCGAGCCTCCCAAGCTCCCCTGGCCCACGGGAGTGCAGCCTCCTTGGCCTCTGCACAGACCTTCTCTGGCAGAGCTGAGCTCTCTCCTGAGTGACATCTCAGAAATGTGAGCACTGGGTTTTGCAATGAAGCAATCCCTTCTTCTCAGTTTGAAGCATATTTTGGGTTTCTGCTTCCCAACATGCTGAGAATGTTGATACCAAGGGTCCTATACCTAAATACCCAAAGAGAATTTCTACCCCAGTGTGGTAGAATAGGCTCGCGTTAGCCACCGGTACTAGACTCACCCTTGGGGAATACCACTTCGTATCAACAGCCTAAGTCCGTTGGTTACACTTCCTTCGCAGTTCAGGTTAAGCGAGCGGTGGAAGTCCTCTGACAGTCAAAGCTGTCGTTTCATCATGTGCCTGGGATGAGGAATGTGGTGTGGGAGCTTTCCTGATTCTGTTGCATGGGGAAGGCTCTTGCATTTGGATAGTTGTTGGCATTGTATCATGGGGATGGGAAGCTTTGGCTTTGAAGGTAACTTAAGAGCTTAACGTTTTTAATGATGAGTCGTTTGGTGTCTAGAATAAAAGCAGTAATTAAGTCAGTTGTCATGTTTTCAGATGATTTAAAACTGATCCGTCTCTCTGTGATGTTTGGTTATGAATGATGAGTTCCTTTCGCTGGTATGTTACCCTTGCATTATGTGAGCCTGATTGACGGAACGACTGTCTTCTGGGCATATCATTATACAAAGCACTGACAGATTTAAAGCGGCCTAGTGGACTTCTTGGTATTGATAATAATGTAACACCTTTGCAGGTTCTTGCCACTGTGTCCTCCTGGGGCTTGAAGCTTGTTTTCTTTTCCTCCTTTCTGAACAGTAAGGTCCAATCTCTCCAAAGTAATGTGATAAGCATGTTTTGCATGAGGAACCCACTCACACTGAATGCAAACTCACCTCAGTGTTGAATGTAGCCACCTGCCCTCAAACCCATTTTCCGCGGCACCGCAAGTGTTTGATTAATTTTGTGGAAGCTGTGTGAAGGCACGTGTGTAGTCTCTGCATCGTATCTCCGCATTTGCAAACGTAGCATCTCTACATTTCTCTGTGCTGTGAGTCTTTATTTCCTTTTACTCCCTTTTGGAAGGTGACAGGACTACTAAAGCATTCATTGCTTCTGAGCCAGGGTAATACTGAACAAATTTGGATACGTGCTTTGGATACGTGATCGTGTCAGATGGGTGGTATCCTCTGTCCTGCTTGCTTCCACCAGCACACCCACTCCTGATGTGCATGTGAAGTTCAGTGTGTACTTTGCAACCTGGCTGAGGTGGTGCATGTGGTGTATGTCTTTGCAACGTGCCATGCCCGCGATTCTTCCCCCCACCTGAGCGCAGCTGTTACACCCTTGTCCTGTGGCTTATGGGCATGAGGATGAATAGAGACCTGAAGTTTTTTTCTGCACAGGTCAACTAGGAGAAAATTGTCCTCTGCATGGGTTATCTAGATAGTGAAAAACGCTGATTTAAACACAGTATTTCATACTTAAGGCCTGCATTCTTCAGTTGGTAAATATTTCCATTAAAGTTAGTGCAGCTATTTACAGGCCCAGTTCTGCTTACACTGAACTCACTGGGGAAACCAGCTGACTCTAGAGATACCATGTAACCAAATCTGAATAGCGTTGGTCTTTCTGGCCTTGCATCCTTTTATTTAGCAAAAGTGCTCTAACATAATTGACCTGAATTTGTCAGATGACTTGAAGTTGTCTGAACCAACTGCTCTTACTTAAGAGCTATTGCTCTTAAGCAATAGCAATAGCTCTTAAGTACCCATATTTCAAATATCTCTTAATATCTGAAGAGATCTGAGTTTAAAAAAATATTCAGCTCCTTATTCACATTAAATTGAAAATTTACCCATTAAAATTGAATTTTAAAATTTAACGCTTCTCATGAGAGAGAGATTGTGATTGTGACTGGTCAAGAATTAAGTTGTGAAAAAACCATCTCTCTTGGACGTACAAGGCTATTTTATCACTGTCATGTAAAAATCGGTACGAAGTACAATTATTAAAAATTGCGTACAACAAAGAGTTTAATGACAATGTCCAGAGTTTTTTAGAACTTCTTTCCATAAGTGCTAGAACATCACATATCCGAGGACTAAAAATAACGATTTTGAATGTAATACGATTGTACAGGTGTGAAAGTACAGCCCATATCCAATCAGTTGTCTTCCCACAATACTTCAGTTTAAAGATTTCTTTTGATTTGAGATAGTAATGCAGTGTGAATTGCTCCAATTTTTTTTCTTCTTCTTGAATTTGTAATGGACTTCAACCTATTGCTTATTTATGTGCCTTTATCTCAAATATTGTTTTCATACACACCGATACTAACCACCTGTGGACTTATTCTCAGCACTGGTGCAGTAATGTTAATAACCTGTTTACACTGAAAATTCAAGTTAACCTTGCTTTACGAATAGGCTAGGAAAGATGCTTCTTTCACAGTCCCCTCAAAATAAAGCTTGGCCAGTGCACGTCTACAGGGTTACTATTTCAAAATACAGAGACTAGCACTGTCAGTAGCATAAATGATATTAGCAGCTCTCTGAAGCCTTTTTAATTCTCTACTGCAACTTAAGTTCTAAGCTCAGAGTGTCTCTTCAGCCTCCTCTAAGCAGAGAGCAAACCTGTCTCCTCTTGGGGCTCCAGAGGTACTTTTATTTTTTTCTGACTTCTTTTTTTTTCTCACGTTGTCTTGACCTAGTGAGCACAAGTGAAATACATGACTTGTGGCAAAGCACAAGTCTGGAGCTGCGAAAGCCTGTTTCCTGGTTAGGGAAATAAGAGAGTGTATAATTGAAATAAAGCCAAAAATATTTCTATCTATAATAAGGCTTTTTTGGCCATTGTTTGTCATTTGTGCTGACAGGGCAAAAGAAGTTCAAGTTTAAAATAAGCCTGACTGGAAAATACTATCCTTTCTAAATTCCCTTTTCTGCCTTTTTTCAGGAGATACTCATTTTCCCTTTCCCATTGTTTTAGCTTCGGCAAAGCTTTTGTTTGCACTCATTTCATTTTTTACCACTTACGCCAGAAGTCAACTTCCAGATTCATGGTTAAATTTCGTAGGATTCAATTCACGTGTAAAATGACAGGGAAGTACTAATTTTGCACATAAGAGAAGAAACCTGTTTCCCATGCTTCATTACTGACTCTGAAGCCAGACGAGGATTGAATTCTAGCGTCAGGATTCCTCTTCTCAAGACAGTGTCGTTGCCTACCAAGATTTACACGTTTGGTCGTGCCGCGTACATCAGCGCTTGAGGGGTGCTGTGCGTTCAACCACGTCACGCACATGGCAGCGCCTCGGGGTGTCCGACCGTTATGTCGTGTCCCGTGGCGCTCCGTGCCCTGATTGAGCCTGATGTGATGCTTCAACTCACGTCAGATTTGGTAGAGCGCGTGCCCATACGTGAGAGGATGGTTTTGTGCCATACAGTTACCATTGAGGAGTTGGTGTTAAATGTTGGATGTGGTCTTGGTGCTCAGGCTTCCTGGATTGGTGCGGTGGCCTCGCGCCGGAGGAAATAAATCAGCAGTACCCTAACAATATGTTCTTCTCTCTAGGCAAGGTGACGCAGCAGCCCTGAGGGAAAACCCACGGAAGAAAAGGGATCAGCTGGACCAGAATTTAGGCCAGGAGTGGAAGGCATCTGTCAGACCTTTGCATGTGCAAGAGCCTACAGTTCTGCCTCACGAGAGCCGGGGGAGGTCTGGGACATTGCCTAGTGATTACCGGTACTCTCAGGAAAACGTGAATGAGAAGAGCAAGGATCGCAGCCTGCCTCATCTCCCCTGCTCTGAGCCCCAGACTGTGGATGAGAACCACTCCTGTCTGTCCCGGGGCAAAGGAGAGGAAAACCATAGGGTAGAGCCGGCGTTGCTGAACAAGAAACGTGGGCCTGCTCCTCAGAGGCCGCCACCACCCAGAAGAGATAAATACAGGCGACCGGAAAATTCTGCGCCATCGCTTGGCACCTCTTCTGAATCCCTGCTGGTAGCGCCCAGCCGGCCCTTTCCGTCCTCGTCCCCCAGCTCTGCCGAAGTATTTGCCAGTCATCCCCCTCTCTGTCCGAGTCCTGCGGCTTTCAGTGGAAAACCGAAGGGTGCTAACCCACAGCAGCTCCAGCAAGTGGCATCCACGGAGAATGTTTGTCAGCACTTAGAAGAAAGAACGCACCTTAGGTCTGAGTCTGTATTATCTTCCAAGTATCGGTATCTTCAAAAACCCGGCATGGAGACATCAAGGTCCCCTTCTCCTCAGTTTGCGCCGCAGAAGCTCACTGATAAACCTCCTGTGTCCGTACAGGATGAGAACCCAGCCAGGTACTAGATATGTCTCCTTTGCTGTTTTATTACACTCTTTGCACAGTTGGCTGTTCATTTTCTTTACTAAAAGCACATCCTTGGCGTCCATTAAGCATGAGCCATCCCAGCATGTCCTGAAGAGACCTAAGACTTGTGTGAAATTCCAGTTGGTACCATTAAAGTCCTTCAGCTTGTCTGTGGTTTCTCTTAGTTGGCTGATGCTGCTCAGGTGTTAGAGCTGGTAGTTAGTAGAAAATGAAAGGGACGGATTCAAATGGATTTTCCACTGTAAGTCTGGGTAAAAGCAGAAGATTCCCTGTCATCATTTCCCCCACCTGAGTATGTATGTGAATATGAATCGGTGTAGGGACAAAGCAGGTGTGGGAAGGGAAGCTGTATCCTTTGTGAGAGCATCTGTTTGGAAGGCACACGCAGTGAGGTACGCTGCCAAATCATTACTGGGTTTTGGGTTGCTTGTATGATGCCACATACATGCCAAGACACGTGGCACTCCAGGTCGTCTGTGGAGGGGTCCACAGCACTGATTGTGTTGAGGTGGGCTGCAGGGTCAGCAGGAGAATGTCAGTATCAGAATTAGACAAACGGACTGAAATTAATTGATTGGGGTGTCTGTCATGTGCTGCTAACATCATAAAAGGTTATTCTCCCACAAGATAACAGTGTCTTTCAGAAAGCTCAGGCATCTTAGTTTTCATAAATCCTTCAGCACTGTAATCCGTGGTTACAGAACGAAAACAAAACCTCTGAGCTGAATGAGTGCAGAGGTTACTTCTCTGGGCAAAAGTGGTTGGAATAGCTTTTCTCTGCTGTAATGTATATGGTTGGACAGACTCAGTCGTGCTGGTTTCCAATGTGCCTTATGACCTAGAAAACATGAATCACTTTCTTTCCTAAACATGCCTTGATGTTCTTCCTTCTGTAACTGGAGGGAAAAAATTACTTTTCATCCTTCAGGGTCTTTAACAGGAAGCGATAATACGGTTTATTATGAAAAGTGCAACATGTCAGGAGAACCCCAGCATCTATGTGCACAAGTAGATGACAGTAATGACTTCCTTAACGTATTGCTTTGACTTCCTTAGCGTATTGCTTCAGGAATAGATAACTAAGGATGCGTAGAAAGCTGATTGTATTTGTCCTTCCTTTTTACTAAGCTTTAATGTTGAAATGAGCACTGAGGTGTGCCTTATTATATGCCCGTATCTGAATGATAATACACTTACCCTGCATAGCTTTTATTAATATTTAAAAATCTTCAGCCCAGACAGCTCTTGTTGGTGCACTATGTATTGTCCTCAGTTAATAATTACATTACTCAAGAAAACACGTATGGAAAGAAAGGAAAAACCTGTAGGCCATACCTCTGAACCTTCTTTATCATATTTACTATGTGATATTTATTTCATATGAGTAAAATACATCAAGTAGATTGATCTTAATAGGCAATAAATTAGATTTGGTTTATCATTTCTACTGGCTCCTTGCATATGAGCTTTGGGACATGCTGTGGGCAACTGATGTTTGATGTTGTCAGCATGTAGCTGTTTGCTCTTCTTTAAGAAAGGTGTCTTGTTTATCAACAGGATAAGCTGAGTCAGTGTGCAGGGTTTCCTGCAGCGATTTAGGTAGAAGAGTGTGGTGTGGGGAAATACTGGTGGTGTGCAGAACGCAGCTATTTCCAAAGGCGACTGTGTAGCAATAATAAAGATGAAAAGAGCGCGTCAGGAGTTGTGCATCATTAGTTTTCCAGTAAACATACACTCGGGTCAAGGGGTGACTGTGCTCATGGTTGGAGTAAGGCTTCGTAATGGCCACAAGCAGAGTTGCTGCAAATCAGAAATTGCATGCCACAGTTCCTCCCACATGGAAAACCTTCAGAAATCGGGAGGATACTGATTGTTCCTGCCCATGGCAGGGGAGTTGGAACTAGATGATCTTTAAGGTCCCTTCCAACCCAAACCGTTCTGTGATTCTAAGAAACAGAATTTCTGAAGAACCTTGTGTCGAACTGTCTTTGCTCTGACTGAAATCAGTTGACTTGACGGTGCCTGGAGTATCTGGAAAATCTTGTACTAGGCTGAGAGGAATGTACTCCGAGTCTGAAAACAGATGCAGGGCATTTTAGGTGAAGAATTGCAGTCGGCTTGCTTCCTCTCTTTCAGTTGCCCCCCACATGCTTACGCATGCATCTTATATTTCTCCCAGATTCAAAAATGTGTTCCTCTTCACGCTTTTTCTACTCCACCAGACTTGGGGCTTTATTTAAAGACAAAGCAAAGGTGGGGGGCTGTGGTAGGCCTCTGCCTGGCTCCGCGGCCGTCAGGAGGAGAGCCCGCATCTTCAGGCCAGGAGCTGGGGCATAGCGGAACACACAGGAGCAAACTCTTTAGAACGACAGTTGCCTTGAATGAAAACGCCCCAACCAAGCGGAGGTGAGGGTTTCAGCATGGGATAGCAGACCTGCCCCAGAATTTGGTTCAGTATGCCAAAGGATGTCTGCAAAGCACTTGAAGAAAGTAAATACCTGCTGGGAGGCTGCACATTCATTCCGAAGCAGATAGACTTTTCAAATATAAGATACAACTTCTGAAAAATACGAAGTCAAACAGATTTTGCTGTTCCCTACAAAAGGAAAGTGCAGCACAAATAAAGTATAACTTTATTTTTAAGGAAAGTGACACACCCACACTTAGAGGAAAAGAGCCGTAGTATGTCTTGGTCGCTTATCTGAGAGGCGGCAAGCAACCCAGCCGGATGAAACCAGATATTTTAGCTAGTAGGCAATGTTCCTTCACTTGCTGTAGAGCTTCCAAACCCACATTACGACAATAATTTTAAACTTGCTGCAAACTCAAAACCACCAAACTAGACTTGAGTTTCTTATATGGTTTACATACAGTACAGATGTTGCAGTAATGTTATTTAACATGTTATTGTCCAATTTAAAAATCTAAGTTAGCCTCCTCTTTCAGTAGCTTGACTTACAGAATGTCCAAAGTAGCCCTTTGTGTCAGGCAGTACAGGATGTTTACTCTAGGCTTCCTTTAAAAGGGGTGCCCAGAATTGTGTGTTACCCTCTACAGTGCCTGGTTTTTCTTCTTGAACTGGAAAACTAGGCCACTGGTGGGATCTATTTATTAAGCTTCTGTATCTTATGTAAAATTTTACAAATGCAGATCTTTTTTTAAATCATGTAATTAAGTTTTGAATGATTTCCAGGTTTTCCCTGTGTGATTATTTGTTATTCTTTAGCTCAGCAAAGGCCTAGCCTGCAGGATGCTTCCATCTGGTCTGTTGTCTCTTCCCTTGGAAGAGCTGGGAATTGGTGTGAGGGCATCACAGACTCCCCAGGCAGTTACACCGCCTGCCAGGCCAAAAACTGAGGCCACTGCTGGGTCTGTATGAGGCAACGAGGTTGAGCTTGAGGCACTTTTTCCTTCATATGTGCGGCAGCAAAGGGGTAAATGCAGTTCAGCAGCGCTGTCTCAAATCGGGGGCCTGGCTGCTGAGATTGGACCCACACGTTCATGGAAACAAATCCGGTACCATGAGTGGTGTGCAAGGCTGATGGTAGGATTACTTACGTATGAACTGGTACTATTTAAAGTGTGTGGGCAGAAAATAAAACATGCAGATTTAGGGGCTGAGGTACAGTGCAAGGAATATTCCATTGCCTAGATCTCTTACCTGCCTTTTTTCACATTTGGGCTTCCCCTCTGATTTGCAGGTAAAAGTTGAGATGTGAGGTCCTTCCATTTCTGAAGATGAATTTTCCTTATTTTTTTCCAGAATTGAAAGGGTTATGGACAACAATACTACGGTGAAAATGGTTCCCATCAAGATAGTTCATTCTGAGAGCAGCGCAGAGAAGGAGAGTCGGCAAAGTCTTGTCACTACCATGGAGCCTCCTGCTTTGCCCAGCGGTTTGGAAAAGGACCAGATTAAAACACTCAGCACTTCTGAGCAATCCTACTCACGATTCTGTGCTTACACCAGGCAAGGTGTAGAGCCAGAGCCAGAAGCCAGAACCAAACCAGCTGACCCTCAACCAGCTGATGAACCTGGGAGCAACTTGAAGGACAGCACTGCTGCCACGCCAGCAGTCAGCTATGTAAAGGCCAAAGAGAAGACCTTGGAAGATTGGAAGTCAGAGGAACTAGCCAGAGAGATTGTAGGAAGAGATAAATCTCTAGCAGACATACTAGATCCCAACGTGAAAATAAAAACAACGATGGATCTGATGGTTGGGATATTCCCTAAGGATGAACACCTCCTAGAAGAAGCTCAGCAGCGCAGGAAGCTACTGCCAAAAGTTCCTTCTCCAAAGATTTCGGAGGAAAAGTGAGTATTACTTTCTGTAGGCCAGTGGTTCCTTGTAAACTTCTGTCCAAAGTGTGTCAGTTTTCCTAGGGGGCTGAAGGTGAAGATCTTCTTACTGTTGAGGTTTCAGGCTTTTCCAAGATTCTTCCATTAGAAGAGCACTGAAGCATAATGCTGCTAACGATACCATTGACGGCAGAAAAAGAACAGTATTGTACAGTATGAGAAGTTTCCTGAGACCTGGTTGGAAACTATTTGTGTGAGAGTTTTAGGGTTAATTAACTTCTCCCATTTCATAGTGATCAGATATTTTACCGAGATCATCCAGTCTAGTAACTCAATAGAGAAGGAACAATATTTTAGCCTTTTTTTATGTGATGCAAATTTACAAAGACAACTTGAAGTGGGCATGAGGCATTTCCTGGAAGGGAATGAGAACAAAGTAAGGAAAGATTTAAATTCTATTAAATTCCATCCATGTTGATGTTCTGTGGGTGTCTTGTTTTCTTGATATGAGTTATCAAATTAAGCTGTAGCTTTCTCGAAGGCTTTTCTCTGAAGCTTTCATTTCATGTGTGATTCCATAATCAGAGATAAACACTTGTGTTGTAATATCCCACATTTGGCCGTCTGAAGGGATACTCTTTATGACACTGAGGTCTTTGCACTACTTAGTGAAGTGTAACTTTACATTTTTGTTTCCAGCTGAGGTACCTTAGGTCCTTTTCACTCGCTGTAATGGTGAAAGGCCTTCTTGCACGACTGCAGTTTGAGCTTTTGGTGGGCCTGTGCTGAGATCACACAAATGTTCTTCACAACCAGTATTTATTTATTTGTTCTCTTTCCATAGGTAATGGCTTTCTGTTGAACTGCTAACTGGTGAAACGGTGGCTCTAAAAGAGCATCCTTTCTTTTCAGCAATTGGGGTGTCAAGGCAGTTAATGAAAGTTTTGACTTTTTACCAGGAAAGAGGAGCAGAGCACGCCGTCTGCCATCTCCCTGACAACCAATTCTACTTACTACAGCACATCTGCACCGAAAGCAGAGCTGCTGATTAAAATGAAGGACATGCAGGAGCAGCAGCAGCAGCAGCAGAGCGAGGATGATTCTGAAGACGAACTGGATCATGACTTGTCAGAAAAGAAGGTAAAAGACATTTCTGAAGGTGTAACAGGAGGCTCTCGGTTGCATGCATTTCATTAAGTGTGACTTCGCTAGGTAAACACCCCTAAATAGGTTAAATAAAAGGCCTTGTAGATGTACAGGATCACTTGGAAAGTCAGCCTGGTTTTAAGGGGGTGGGGCACACTAAGTGTCCACCTGGCAATTCAGGAACTTTCTAGTAGGCGCCCTTGGCAGCTTGATACACGTTTTGGAAGGTCCCAGGGGGAGAAGTTGTGGGGAGGGTATTTTCAAATACTGTTTTCCATTGAAGATTCTAGTGCGTTTCTCTCCATTGCTGTACACAAAGAAACAGCAGTGCTTATGTACCCCGCTGTAACCGGTGGTGCTTTTAGGTGCTCCATGCTTTTGAAATTTAGGTCCAGGATTTGGGTTTGTCATGAGAGAGAAGAAACACATGCACACGCAGCCTTTTAATTTGTTTTCCTGAGCGACAAACCATTTTGCCCTTTGTTTCTCCCAAAGTTAGTAACAGTAGTGGTGAGAGATAGGTCACCAGCTTTGTGGGTTCAGTGGAAGTTGCTCATCACAAGGGACACAGTCTTCTCCACTCTTGTTCCACCCCGTCCTTTGGCGTGCCGTTTCTGATGGAAGGTCCGCATAATCCCCCGGGTATTAAAATGATGTGATTGGCAATGCTGTGGTTTGAGAAGGTTGTCCTGTGTTAAAATCGTCGCACTCATCTCATTACTGATTTGGCACAAAAGATTGTAATCGGAGTTCCCAGTACAGATAAGCTGGAGGAAATGGTCTGTTTGATCGTTTAAAGTGATGTTATTCGACTGTGTTTAGCTGAGCCAGTAGCGCAATGGTGTGCAAAACTTTCCCGTTAAAGTCAGCTCTCCCCTTAACGATCACCTGCCAGGCTGCATCTGGCAGTCCAGTCCCAAAGAAATGTCTTTGGATTAAATATTGGGAATATATTTAGTCACTACGAGTGAGAGACTCCTTATGAGATTCCCACCTGTGATTCAAGTGCAGGAGCGGGTGCCACTGCATGTGAGGGGGCTGAAGTGTGTTCTGTTACAGCTCTGTTCTGGCTTTGTCCTTTCCCTCTGCCCCCACTGCGTCGCACAGCTCAATACGGCGCGCGCGCTGCCGGGGCACAGTGTGGCTGTCGCGGGAGAGCCGCCCTTACCCTCTCGCCAGGCAGCCGCTGGCTCCAACAGCTGCACTACTTACACAAATTAAGGATTTCACTGCATTTGGAATAATTTGGGTTTATCTGGTGACACACGTGATGGGCAACGTTCATTGGTTTTGCTAGAATTAGTTTCCTTCTCGTTAATTATGGGGTGGGTGTTAAAGTTAAACCTTTATTGTTTGCCCAACGAACTAAAACCTTTATAAGCTAAAGTGTTGTTTATTTGTGTTGGTGTGAGGAAAATCATGTTCACCCGTTACATACTCCTCCCTCCGCGTGCTCAGCAGTACTGGTGTGAGATGGGAAATGCTTCTTGAAGGGCTTTCAGCAGAGCTCCCCCATCTTCTTCTCTCAAGGCACACGCTGCCGTAGCCATGCAGGCGTTGCCCTCCCCGCGCCTCCACATGCGGTAGGATGCAAGCACTCAGTTCAGTGGGCTTTCACCTTGGATCTTGTCAGAAAATACATAAAACTCCTAAGTGGGTCAAGGCGTCTTTATAAAACAGCCAGAATATATAACTTGGCCCAGCTTCATGTGTCTGGCAACAGTTTGACGAGGGATCGTTAAGGACCTGAACACTTTAATAGCACGCTTTACCACTTCAGTTATTTTAGAGGAGGCATACACCCAGAACCTGCTCCGTGATTCCTAGAAATTGATCTGCTCGGTTATGAGATACGTTAATTGCAGTTCACAGTGGCATGGCTAATATTTATCATTCTCTGCTCTGCAAACCAGAAATGTGTGGTGCCTTTTTTTTTCTTCTTTTGGAGCAAGTATAGGAATTTCATATGGAGTCATTAATTATTTTTAATTTTTTTTGGAGGAAGGGATGATCCCTGTATTCCCAGCTAGCGGGAATGTGTCTCATGTACTGAATTTATTGCAGGTTTACGGCAATTCTGAAATACCAAACAGATGTTGACGACACTGCAGGAGTGTGTTCTCTAGTAAGGAAAATCTATGCGTGGCTGAGTAGGAAGCGTCCCCTTTGCCTTTAGGAAAGTTTCCTCAACCCCTGAGGAGTGTAAAAATAATTGAGGAATACCACGTTCCTCCCGCTTTTAGCCCTGACGGTGTCATGGAAGGGGGCGGTGAGCTGAGAGCAGCGATGTACGTAAAGCGTGGCCAGCAGCGCACCGCCCGAGCAGCGCTCTGCTGTGCTGCTTTCTCTGTTGCTAGTCAGATCCGCAGGAATCACTGGGGAAAGATGAGGGGGGTTTGTTTTCATGTTTACTGGGCCAGAATTCGCAGCTATAAATTATTCATCGGCCTGTTTCAAGATGTAGGTTGGAGCTGTTCTGGCTCGGGAGATACTGAATGCGATACAGGCTTTCTGCTGGTTAGCAAAAGCGTGTCGTGAGCTCAGGGTTGCTGCATCCAAAGGCTGCTTCACCTGGGTAGGAAGCAACCCGTGATCGTAATCCAACACTTAAGAGATATGACAGTCGTAAAGAGGGGCGAGTGCTTATGGTGGTCTCACCTGGAAAAGCCATCCTTTAGAGGAGACTCGCTTCAGCTGCCTGCGGACATCTAAACAGGATGCTACTGGGGAAAATGGCACGCTTTCCCCTTCTTCTTTTTTTTTTAAAAAGAAAGAGACTTTCTGAGAGTGCTGCTCTGGATTGTCAGGCCGGATTGGCGCACGTTGCGCACACGCATGGCTCTCTGTCATTCGAGAAGGTCCGCAACACAGCTGCGGAAGTTAAAACCTGGAGACAGGAACACCGAGCACAGCAGTGTCCTGTTGTGTTTCGGGCGGTAAAGCGGCAGCGTTGTGCGTGTGGTCATCTGAGGGAAATGGGAGCGCAGGACTGTGACCTACATAATCCAAATCAAACTGCGGTTGCACTGGGGAGGGGGAGATCAAATCCTGCAGATTAATCAGTCAGTAAAGCAGGCATCTGTAGAACTGCTTACTACCTTAATCTTTTGGGCACCCAGACTACCAGATAACCCAAATCCAGATTAACCTGGCCTGAGTATATTAAATCAAAACAGGAGAAAACCAGCCTGGATAATCCATGGGTTGAATTTCTACTTTCAAAAAAGCTGTTAAATTTTCAAAAATTTAAAAAGAGTGTTACTGCTTTCTGTTAAGATGATGGACTTCTTTGTTGTTCCCAAAAGACATTGGCAGTGACTGTTCCGTGGCGTCCGAGAGCGGTAGCTGCTACCAGTGTGTTTCTTGGTGATCATGAAGGCTTGTAATCAGATTGGCATTTAGAAAGCAGAGTTCCTAAAGAATGTCTTGAGTGTTTTTTTTTCCAAAAACATAATTGGAGTACTGTGAAATCATGGCTGTTGTAAAGGATGTACTTCTTATTTAGAAACTGCACTCGGAGGTGTACGTTTAGAGGATGCTTTGGGAATTTTTCTTACCTGAAATCAGCTGAATACTAAACAGGCATCTACATCTAAATGCATGAGGCATTTTTAGGGTGTGATGCATCTCATGTTGAGGCAGACCGGCTGAACTGACTTCCAGGCCTTGTGCAGGGGTGAAAGCTAACTGACCTGTAAGAAAGGAGCCCTTTGCCCACATGGAGGGAGGTAGCTGGGCAGCACGAGTGGAGCGCGGAGGCAGGAGGTCTGGGTTCTCGGTCTGGCTCAGCTGGTGAGGCACCTGACTGTGCTTTTTCTAAGCCAGGGCACGTCCATCCCAGGCAACGGGGGGTTGGTTGTACCAGAGAAATGGTGACAAACTGCGGATGAGGTGGCGTATTCCCCTGGCGTAGGACAGCGACGGCCAACAACGCTTGTTTGGTCCTTCAGCAGAGCTGCGTCGCACAGGGCTGCTTTGTACGATGCAGAAGTAGATT